TTTCGCTTTGGGAGGCGTGCTTGGGAAAAACTGGTGGCTGAGGGCCTTGAGTCCCTGTGACTGGGGGACCGCGGGTACACACTCAGTTCGTTCAGGGGAGGAGGAGCAACATGGATGTTCAAGCAGACGATGAACCTGGCTCAGTTGCAATATCACGGGGAAACCCTGAAATCGTACTTGCAAGAAGCGTTCAGTGTGCAAGTGGCAGCCTCAGCATCAATCTCAGCTCGTGAACTTCTCAACTTTGTCAATCGTGATTGGTCGTTACTCTCCACTCCGCCGCCGCTGGCCCGTATCGAGTTTTTGAGGTAGTCGCAGGGATGTCTGATCGCATCTCTAGAGCTCTCAGGGAGTTAGCTAGTGCTCTGGAGGAGGAGGCTTGGGAGGTGACACGGGAGCCCCCGCGCGCTGACACAGCTGGCGGGGGTGCTCAAGGCCAGTTCACAGCTGGCCGTTCTACTCCTGTTGCAGCCGCTCGAGCTACTGCAACTCAGCTTCCTGAAAGAGTTCGTCCTACCTCCTCGACCCCAGCAACTTCGGACCCTGCCCGCACGATCGGTCAGGACACGACCGCGTCCTCAGTGGCTTGGCGTGAGGGTGACCGGATCTACTTGATCCTAGCGAATCCTCGCAAACCATGGATGGTGGGGGTGATCAGCGGCCCTGCGCCGCAGACTTGGCGCCTGATAGAACAGAACCTAGACGGAGGCCAACTCTCCGGGTCGGGCGCGCGCCTGCGCCGAGTTCCGTCGCTCACCGTGGCAGAGGAGCTCTGGAGACAGTACGCTCCCGCGGCTGCAGCTGTAGAGGGCGCCAATGTGGCAGCCCAGTCTTTACTTAAAGCTGCAGAAGCAGCAGCCGAGCACTAGGCGACCTTGAAGTGGACCAAGGACTCACGGCCAAGGAGGTGTTGGCAGACCCAAAGACGAAGGCCTCGGCTGTGCGGTGGCGTGCGGGAGGTGCACCGCGGCAACTGACTGCAGCCCTTGCGCGTCTGACCTCCTCTTTGGGCCGTTGGGTGAGTGGCGGCCCTGCGTCTTCGAGCCAGTTGGCGAGTGACCAGCTGGAGCCCGTGCAGCCGCAGCCGGTGCGGCGACCTCAGTCTGGGGAGACCCGTGAGACTTCCTCGCCAGATGGTTTCATGTGGTTGGTTTGCCGACTGCGTACCTTGCGGTGGAGGACAGTGCTGGCAGTCATGTTTGTGCTCCTCTGCCCGAAGCTGGTAGCACTCATCTTGGCGCTGGTGGTCAAGCTCCTCGTCCGCGCCGTGGTGGCCTTGCTGACTCACATCTGCAAAGAGCTCTTTGAGCAGATCATGGGCGCGGTGGGGGAGATTGAGAACAATTTGGTGACGTGGCTCTCGCATCATCTTGGAATGGAGACCCCAACTTCTGCTCCCCTGTGCCTGACTACTGGCCAGGGTGTGCAACAACAGCCGTCGCAGCCCAGTTCACCTGTACCGCCATCTTCCCTCCCAACCCGGCCCGTCGACCTAGTGACTGTTGTGCTCCTCGTCTTGAACCTGCGCCGTGGACTGCCAGCGGGGGTGGGCGGGGGAGAGCCTCGAGGTTGAGATGCTACCGCATCTATATCAACTTCTTTGTTTGCTTGCCTGCCTTGGCCATTGTGCAGATGTCTGTGGAGGGCAGAGCTTTGAAGTACATCTTTCCCAATGCCATTCTGTTCGGCACGCTAATGATTC